AGCCGCACATCCACAGGAAGCGCATGAGTTCCTTCCTCGTCCTTGGAGTGGGGAAGGACAAGATGGCTTTAACGTTTGCGTCCTTGGGTCTCACCATACCATGCCCAACGATATGTCCCAGGTAAGTCACTGAGGCCCGGCCAAAAGCAGATTTAGCCAGGTTTATGGTGAATCCAGTCTCTTGCAGTCGTGCGAACAGTATCTCCAAACGCACCAGATGTTCGTCCCAGCCGTCCGACACCACCACCAGGTCATCCAGGTAGGCGAACGTCCCACCTAGGTCCTGAATTAAGTAATTGATGGCCCTCTGGAATGTGGCCGGAGCATTAGAAAAGCCACCGTACTGATAAATTTGGCACAGCCTATGCTATCTATTATATCTTCAATCAAAGGTAAAGGGTAGGAGTCTGAGACAGTGACCTGGTTCACTTTTACGATAATCGGTACAGAAACGAAAAGTGCTATCGGGTTTTGGAATGAGAAGGCAAGGTGAAGCCCAGGGGGAGGTACTAGGCTCAGCTAAGTTATGTTTTAACAAAAAGTCTACCTCCTTTTTCATAATCTCTCTTTTTTGTGGATTTAGTCGATAGGCTGATTGCCTAATGGGTTGTACATCATCTGAGATTAGCTTAATATCATGTTTAAGTATATTGCAAAACCCTGGGAGGTCTGACGTGACTTTAGGAAATGTTGATAATAACTTAGTGAGATCTTTTGCTTGAGATGGATTCAGAACAGAAAAATACTCATCCAAGTTGTTGAGTATGTGACTGTTAGCAGGGTTTTCTTTAGGTAGAGGGAAGTCTAAATTCTCCAATAGGTCCATGTCATCTGTCTCCGGCTCCGGCCCTGACAAAACCGTATGCAATACAGGTAGGCTTATAGCCTCTGGGATGTCTTCCTCTGACTGTCTGGAATGGTAAAGTTTCATGAGATTAATGTGAACAAGTTGTGAATCTTTTCTGTAATCAGGAGTATGGACTATATAGTTGAGGGGAGATAGTTTATTAGCAACTATATAGGGGCCAGTAAACTTGCTTTTAAGGGGAGAGCCTGGAATGGGTAGAAAGAGTAACACTTTGTCACCTGGAGAAAATGATCTTTCAACTAATTTAGGTTGGGACTTCACCATTTTTTCTTGGACTTTTTTTAAGTTTGACTGAGCAATGGTTCGGACTTCAGTTAATTTGTCCCGTAAAGTGTCAATGTATTGGGAAACTGTTGCGGGCTTAATAGATGGAGTGTCAAACCACTGCTCCTTTACTATTTTAAGGGGTCCCCTAATTTGTCTCCCATATAGTAACTCGAACGGGGAGAAACCCAATGACTCCTGGGGACATTCCCTGATGGCAAAGAGTAACAAGTCTATGCTTTCATCCCATTCCTTTTGGTGTTCTATACAGTATTTTTTGAGCATTGATTTGAAAGTTTGATGGAACCGTTCCAAGCAACCTTGGGAGTGTGGGTGGTAAGCCGAAAATGTACAATGGTCCACACTGAGGTCTTTCATCACCTGTTTGAACACAGATGGATCAGATGGTTGGGCTTTAATGGGCTCATACTTACTAATGGTCTTATTGAACAGATCTTCTGTGGGTAGGAAGATATTGGAGGTGGTTTTAGATGAAGAGGGCCCATTTCGAACACTCTGTGACCGGGTGACAGCACAAGATGGGAAAAGGTGAGGAATAGTTTCTTCAAGGTCAGTGGTGGAGTTGACAGGTAAGGGAGAGTCGACTGTCTTTATGTTGGAAACCACTAGATCTCCTACCAAGTCATTACCCAATAATAAAGGAATGCCGCTCACAGGCATTGGATCTTTCCTAATGGCTACTTGCACTTCCCCAGTAATCAAGGGACATTGGAGGTGCACTTTAGCTAAGGGATAGGAAGAATGGGATGAGAGATCTGAAATTAGAACACTCTCATTTGTAAATGTGGTAGACATATCAGGAATGACGTTAAACAGGAGGATAGATTGTGCTGCACCCGTATCACGTAGTATACGAATAGGGAAAGAACGAGACCCCTGTATGATTGAAAATTTTCCCTCATAGGTGAATGAAGAGAAGAGATCCTGATGGGGCCTTTCCACATTGGTGGTTGCTATTGGTTTGGATTTGGGATCCAGGGAACTACTTTTAGCAGTTTGACACTTTGGGTGTTTACAAGTCTGGATCGTATGGCCTGGGTTTTTACAGTAAGAACAAGTAAACTTGGTTGCATCAGGGGGGGTAGGTGTGGGACCTTTCGACCTACCACTCACGCCCCCAAGGTTATCATCAGAGGAGGACCTAACATGCCGGAAAGTACCACGTTTCCTACGGCACAGTGACCCCACCAGCAAGGCGTACGCATCAGCCAGCTCAGCCGCACGCCCTAAATTAACCTCTCCACGCTCCTCCACATGCTTCAAGATGTGAAATGGTATCTTGCTCTTCCACTCCTCCAGGACTCCCAAGTTTAACAAATTCTGAGGTGGCCATTGTTAAGAACACCTAGATAAATTAATTAATGGTCAAAAAGATAAGATAAGTGGATTACCCTAGAAAATATCACAGCAGTGGATAACCAGAAAGTCCCGGAAACTAACCAAGTTATACCTAGGGAAATTAAACTTATGAATATTGTTCTTCTGATAAGATCCTTAGATAAGGATAAGAGACTTGGAAAGATACTTGAAACAGGAAGGGCGTATTACGGCATTAATATAAAGATCCGGATAAACAATCCTTGAGTTTGGTATGATTGACCCCGAATGAGATAATGAGAAGAACAATAATTGAGGCTTTATAATTATGGGGTCCTGGTAGAGCGGGGCATCCCAAGATATCACTTCACCCTAAACTAGTGACTATGGAACAGCCTACTCTGGAGCAAGGGTATGGCATTAAACAGATCCTAATTCTTCCCTACACTCGATAAGACTTACTACACGACTGCCACGTGTAATAACAGGTAAGCCTTATGACACTTGAAACCTAATATCCTACGTCTGTCACTCTTACTGTACGAAAATACCAATATATGCACACACATATGAAGGAACTTTAAATCACCGTAAAGCAATTGTGAACAGAAGTGACTGGGAGGAATAATTAACAAGGAGTAACAAGGGGGAAAGAACTATGGCACTTAATGTTGGGTCCTGTCACGGTCGCCATTTGTTACGAGTTGGGGATTTAGAATATAGTTAAAAGTCTACCCAGATCCCAACAGGCAACAACAATAAAAAAACAAAGACAATCGGACTATAAATGGGTAGACAAAGGATGCGAGTTTTTGTTGTGTATAATAAAGTACCATAAATTCCTTAACAAAATATTCAGCTTCTTATAAATTACCCTTAACCATACTAAACCTAAACATACGCAACATTGGCTTAACAGTATATACATATTTATACAACATTCAGAAGCAAGTGGACGTGCGGAGGCAATATAAGATTACAAAATACTCAAGTGCAGTGCTGTGATGGCTGACGAGTAAGGCTGAGTATTGAAGATGGTAGGTAGTCACTGTGCCGTAGATTTCCAGGATAGGTGATCCTAGTGTGGTCACTTCCCAGAGTGAACTGAACTTTCCTCGATCTGGAGCTGATGAGAAAGACTTGGAGGAGGTGACGCAACAACCAGGATATGGAGAAGGGAAACCCCGGAGTGGTAACTAAGACTAGTCATACTCGGGTTTCGTCCCTAGATGGCGTTGCTCGTGGTGCTGGCTAGGTAGATCAGGACAATAGATGGCTTGGTTCGTAGTGCTGGATAGGTAGATCATGACAATTGGTGGCGTGCTTCGTAACACACACGTTCAATCTTCTTTATACCATAGTGTACAAGAATGTGTCTCGTGAGAGTACCCTTTAGTGCAAAATGTTTCCCACATTCCTCACATTCAAACTCCTTCACACCACTGTGTCCAAGAATGTGTTTCTTGAGATAAGCCTTCCGGGAGAAACATTTCCCACATTCCTCACATTGAAACTCCTTTATACCACTGTGTTCAAGAATGTGTGTCTTGAGATTATCCTTCCGGGAGAACCATTTCCCACATTCCTCACATTCAAACTCCTTTATACCATTGTGTTCAAGAATGTGTGTCTTGAGATTATCCTTCCGGGAGAAACATTTCCCACATTCCTCACATTCAAACTCCTTTATACCACTGTGTCCAAGAATGTGTTTCTTGAGATTACCCTTCCGGGAGAAACATTTCCCACATTCCTCACATTCAAACTCCTTCACACCATTGTGTACAAGAATGTGTTTCTTGAGATTACCCTTCCGGGAGAAACATTTCCCACATTCCTCACATTCAAACTCCTTCACACCACTGTGTCCAAGAATGTGTTTCTTGAGATTACCCTTCCGGGAGAAACATTTCCCACATTCCTCACATTCAAACTCCTTCACACCATTGTGTCCAAGAATGTGTGTCTTGAGACTATCCTTCCGGGAGAAACATTTCCCACATTCCTCACATTCAAACTCCTTTATACCACTGTGTCCAAGAATGTGTGTCTTGAGAGTACTCTTTTGGGAGAAACATTTCCCACATTCCTCAAATTCAAACTCCTTTATACCACTGTGTCCAAGAATGTGTGTCTTGAGAGTACTCTTCTGCGAGAAACATTTTCCACATTCCTCACATTCAAACTCCTTTACACCATTGTGTACAAGAATGTGTGTCTTGAGATTACCCTTCCACGAGAAACATTTCCCACATTCCTCACATTTAAACTCCTTCACACCATTGTGTACAAGAATGTGTTTCTTGAGATTACTCTTCTGGGAGAAACATTTCCCACATTCCTCACATTCAAACTCCTTCACACCATTGTGTCCAAGAATGTGTATCTTGAGATTACTCTTCTGGGAGAAACATTTCCCACATTCCTCACATTCAAACTCCTTCACACCATTGTGTACAAGTAAATGTTTCTGAAGAGCAGACTTGAAGCCAAACTGTTTGCCACATTCCTCACAGGAGAGCTTTTTATCTCTGCTTGACATTGTGAACTTCTACTTAGTTTCACTTGGTCTTGAGACGTGACATCACAATATCTGAAATAAAATATTTTGCCTTAGATGATATTCTTATAAAAGTACAATTTATAAATGAAAACTACAAGTGACTAAATCAATTTGTGTAAAATAAGAGTAAAAATAAAATAAAAATATAAAATAAAAAGGTTATATTAATGTACACCGCGAAGATGCCGGAAAACCAGCTTTTTGAAGTGAGACAGATTGTATGACAATGGAAACACAGAAGAAGGCAGAGCATTCAACAGTGTGAGGAAAGAAGGATGTACTATAACGGGTTATTATTGTGTGACCCACATCCACACAGACACAGTTTGGCTGTGTGAGTAAAGAAGGATGTACTATAACGGGTTATTATAGTGTGACCCACATCCACACAGACACAGTTTGGCTGTGTGAGTAAAGAAGGATGTACTATAATGGGTTATTATAGTGTGACCCACATCCACACAGACACAGTTTGGCTGTGTGAGTAAAGAAGGATGTACTATAATGGGTTATTATAGTGTGACCCACATCCACACAGACACAGTTTGGCTGTGTGAGTAAAGAAGGATGTACTATAATGGGTTATTATAGTGTGACCCACATCCACACAGACACAGTTTGGCTGTGTGAGTAAAGAAGGATGTACTATAATGGGTTATTATAGTGTGACCCACATCCACACAGACACAGTTTGGCTGTGTGAGTAAAGAAGGATGTACTATAATGGGTTACTATAGTGTGACCCACAGTCACACAGACACAGTTTGGCTGTGTGAGTAAAGAAGGATGTACTATAACAGGTTATTATAGTGTGACCCACATCCACACAGACACAGTTTGGCTGTGTGAGTATAGAAGGATGTACTATAACAGGTTATTATAGTGTGACCCACATCCACACAGACACAGTTTGGCTGTGTGAGTAAAGAAGGGTGTACTATAATGGGTCATTATAGTGTGACCCACATCCACACAGACACAGTTTGGCTGTGTGAGTAAAGAAGGATGTACTATAATGGGTTATTATAGTGTGACCCACATCCACACAGACACAGTTTGGCTGTGAGGAAAGAAGGATGTACTATAACGGGTTATTATAGTGTGACCCACATCCACACAGACACAGTTTGGCTGTGTGAGTAAAGAAGGATGTACTATAATGGGTTATTATAGTGTGACCCACATCCACACAGACACAGTTTGGCTGTGTGAGTAAAGAAGGATGTACTATAACGGGTTATTATAGTGTGACCCACATCCACACAGACACAGTTTGGCTGTGTGAGTAAAGAAGGATGTACTATAATGGGTTATTATAGTGGGACCCACAGTCACACAGACACAGTTTGGCTGTGTGAGTAAAGAAGGATGTACTATAACGGGTTATTATAGTGTGACCCACATCCACACAGACACAGTTTGGCTGTGTGAGTAAAGAAGGGTGTACTATAATGGGTTATTATAGTGTGACCCACATCCACACAGACACAGTTTGGCTGCGTGAGTAAAGAAGGATGTACTATAACGGGTTATTATAGTGTGACCCACATCCACACAGACACAGTTTGGCTGTGTGAGTATAGAAGGATGTACTATAACGGGTTATTATAGTGTGACCCACATCCACACAGACACAGTTTGGCTGTGTGAGTATAGAAGGATGTACTATAACGGGTTATTATAGTGTGACCCACATCCACACAGACACAGTTTGGCTGTGTGAGTTAGAAGGATGTACTATAACTGTGACCCACATCCACACAGAGTGAAAGAAGGATGTACTATAACGGGTTATTATAGTGTGACCCACATCCACACAGACACAGTTTGGCTGTGTGAGTAAAGAAGGATGTACTATAATGGTTATTATAGTGTGACCCACATCCACACAGACACAGTTTGGCTGTGTGAGTAAAGAAGGATGTACTATAACGGGTTATTATAGTGTGGCCCACATCCACACAGACACAGTTTGGCTGTGTGAGTAAAGAAGGATGTACTATAACGGGTTATTATACTGTGGCCCACATCCACACAGATACAGTTTGGCTGTGTGAGTAAAGAAGGATGTACTATAACTGGTTATTATAGTGTGGCCCACATCCACACAGACACAGTTTGGCTGTGTGAGTAAAGAAGGATGTACTATAACAGGTTATTATAGTGTGACCCACATCCACACAGACACAGTTTGGCTGTGTGAGTAAAGAAGGATGTACTATAACAGGTTATTATAGTGTGACCCACATCCACACAGACACAGTTTGGCTGTGTGAGTAAAGAAGGATGTACTATAACTGGTTATTATAGTGTGGCCCACATCCACACAGACACAGTTTGGCTGTGTGAGTAAAGAAGGATGTACTATAACGGGTTATTATAGTGTGACCCACATCCACACAGACACAGTTTGGCTGTGTGAGTAAAGAAGGATGTACTATAATGGGTTATTATAGTGTGACCCACATCCACACAGACACAGTTTGGCTGTGTGAGTAAAGAAGGATGTACTATAATGGGTTATTATAGTGTGACCCACACACACAGTTTGGCTGTGTGAGTAAAGAAGGATGTACTATAACGGGTTATTATAGTGTGACCCACATCCACACACACAGTTTGGCTGTGTGAGTAAAGAAGGATGTACTATAACGGGTTATTATAGTGTGACCCACATCCACACACAGACACAGTTTGGCTGTGTGAGTAAAGAAGGATGTACTATAACGGGTTATTATAGTGTGACCCACATCCACACAGACACAGTTTGGCTGTGTGAGTAAAGAAAGATGTACTATAACAGGTTATTATAGTGTGACCCACATCCACACAGACACAGTTTGGCTGTGGAGTAAAGAAGGGTGTACTATAAATGGAGTTATTATAGTGTGACCCACATCCACACAGACACAGTTTGGCTGTGTGAGTAAAGAAGGATGTACTATAACGGTTATTATAGTGTGACCCACATCCACACAGACACAGTTTGGCTGTGTGAGTGAAGGATGTACTATAACGGGTTATTATAGTATAGTGTGATTCACATCCACACAGACACAGTTTGGCTGTGTGAGTAAAGAAGGATGTACTATAACGGGTTATTATAGTGTGACCCACATCCACACAGACACAGTTTGGCTGTGTGAGTAAAGAAGGATGTACTATAACGGGTTATTATAGTGTGACCCACATCCACACAGACACAGTTTGGCTGTGTGAGTAAAGAAGGATGTACTATAACGGGTTATTATAGTGTGACCGCTGTGCCTCCAACTCGGCCCAGCAAATACCAACACGGACCATCTCGTTTAACCAACCTTTAACTCAAACATTCTAATGTATGTTTATATCAACGACACAACATAAAACATTTATTACCTTTACCACGAGGGAGGGAGGAAGGCCCACAAATTAACATTTACTCACAAAATTAACAACAATAAACGAGACGGCCACCTTGGTTGATGTCGACCAGCTTCACCTTGTCCGATTCTCTCTCTTATCTTTCAGTAACTACAAGTTTTCATTATTAATACTATAATAAAAGCATTTTATTTATAAATGATACATAATATAAATAAATTATACTTTAATTATAATGTTTTATTGTTGATTAAATTCCCCCTAATAGATATATATTAATATTAAACTAAACTTAAGTCAGTGGCTGGAGAACCGAATAGCTTTACAACATTCACAATTTTACTAAAATAAATTTAAACAATAACATTTTGTGTTGAACTATTTTAAGTTTATTTATTAATATTTTATTAATATATAACACTACAGTATATAGAATCAGTAAACGAACGACTCTGTGGAACTAATTGTGTCGGTTAATGGAGGGACCAGTGAGGATATGTTAGTGACCCCTCCCTGGTGACAACCTTAACCTGACGTGGGTCAACACTCCACTATCCACCTATTTGAACCTTTATTAATGTGGAACAAGTCCATTATAAGAACAATTCACTGGACAATACTCACAGCAGTAGGTATAACCTGTAATATTTGATCACTAACTTGAACTATCATCATTATTGCTGTGGAATGTTCCTAAAAGTACAGTAATTATTTACCTATTATACAGTACAGCATTAATTTAATCCCAAGATTGATGCCAAAAAACTATATTTAAGTATAACTTAACCCAAATAAATTACCCCATTTGTTTGTAAAGTTTCCTGGCTTTTCCATGCAGTTGACACCCCAATAGTCTATGTTATTTATAAAACGTACATGAAGGCCTTTTAAAAAATACGGGCAAAGCCTAAGTAATCTACTTTAAATATCTAATTGTTTCAAAAAGTCATTAACATAATAACTAATTTGTGAACCCAGATTTAAAATCAGGTAAAGTAGTACCCTGTACCTTTGTAGGATATTTAAACTATTTTTTTACCCCAAGTGCTGAAGACAAAGGTATTAGGTCAGGAATATTTGACAAATATTTTGACAACGTGAAACTAACTTCATACAGTAAAGATGGTCAACATATTTAAGACCATCCATAAAGGCCTTTTAAAACTTACGGGCACAGCGTAATCTACTTAAAATATCTAATTATTTCAAAGGTCTTTAACACAATTACTTGAATTTTTAAACTGTGATCCCAGATCCTTAATAAAAACTAAAACCACAAAGATATACACTGTACTGTACCCTAGGTTATAACAGAAAGTTTCCAATGTGGTGCAGCAAGAGACCCGTTAACCAAAACAAACCTTCGTCTTGTGGCCCATATCTTACATCTTCACGTCACCTTCCTGGAATGAATAACATTTTAGCAACTAATAAATTAAATACTCTGGGCACTAATATTATATAATATGTATACAGTACTATACAGTATTATATTATACAGGAACTCATTAAATCTTCAAACATTTACAAACAATATTATGGTTAAATTAAGACATTTCCATAAAACTTATTAAAGTAAATAAAGAAACACTTTAGAAAATCTTACCTCGACGAATGACACGAGGAACTTCATTAACCACGATCAGCGAGGCAGCAATATGGTAGTTGTCTGAACACTACAGTAACAACCAATTGGAGCCGTAAACTGTAAACAAAATAACCGTTACTCTTTTTGTAGAAACTCAGATAATTTTTTGTTCCAACATGTTGGAGACGAAACAACCTTGTAAAGGATTGCCAACACGGTTTTATGCCGGGGCGCTCCTGCTTAACACAATTGCTCAAGGTACTGGATATTTGGACCCATAGTCTGGAATGGGGTGGTAATATAGACAATATTTACCTAGATTTTGCCAACGCTTTCGACAATGTACAAGAAAGGCTGAAAATCAAACTGGAAGGGTATGGAATTCGAGGAAATGTCCTAGCATGGATAGAAGACTTTCTACATGACCGCAAGCAGTGTGTGGCGTTTATTGGCACAAAATCGTCATCCGTACCTGCCACAAGCGGGGTACCACAGGGCAGTGTATTGGGCCCGCTGTTGTTTGTTTGTTTCATAATGACATGCCTGACGTTGTACACTCCTCCACACAAATGTTTGCGGATGTCGCCAAGTTATTTCGGGAAATCAAGAACCAAGCAGACTGCGAAGAGCTGCAGAAGGACCACAAGTTAACTCTGGTCAACAACTTTCTTAATACCACTTACTAGTCACTAATGGATAACACCTGGTAAATTCACAAGTTATATCCCACTGCCATAAGGGTTTAATTATCTATAAACAACGACATTGTGAAGAGTCTTGTGATTTTTCCTTTCCCAGAGAATTAAAATACCATCGAAGACAGAGTTTGGTTCGGTTAGGTTTGAATCCCACCAAATTGTTATTTTCCCCGAGAATTAAAACCTCACCATCGGACACATGATTTGGTTAGGTTAGGATCCCACCAAATAGTGACAAAAATGTAAATTTCTTGTCAAAAAATTAACTGCAATTTTACCGTAAAGTTCCCAAAATGTCTCAAAAGCTAATTTTTTACTGAAAACTGTAATTTAACTAGAATTAAAAAGTACCACATTCTTATAACTAATTTTTTTACTTCAATTAAATAAAAAAGACCGAAATACTTCCTCAAACAAATTTAACTTCAATTAAATAAAAAATCTTTCCCAAGATAAAAATGGCCCAAAATCCCACCTTGGTTAATATACAGTGGTCTCTCGGTTAACGAGCGCCTCGGTTAACGAGTTACCTCCCATATGATTTTTAACGAGTTTTTTTTATTAGCCGACCTCAACATGTTTTCGCTTGCACTTGGCGGTCAACCAGCTGTAGTATTAGTCTGCCAATACAGTAATCGGTTCTAGGGCTTAAATTCCGTACTATTTTATTAAATATCAATAAGTTTATACTATTCAATAATTTAAAAAGTTTAATAGTGAATCCTCACTTTATGCGGTTAATTCAACCCACAGCAGCCCGCGTAAAGTGAGAAACGCGTAAAGTGAACAACATAACATATGGGATTAATTGAAATAGAGACCGGGCCGACCCCCAAACTCCACTTTTTCAGACACAATACCTACGTTGTAGTAAAAATAACTTCTTAATTTTATGATGGTATGCACACACAATTAATAATTAAGAGAAATATCAATAATATTAGGTTTTTTAACACTTTTCATTAGTAGAAAAGATGGCTGGGCACATGGGGATGGGGGGTTGGTTCCGAGGCAGAGGGTAGATTATTGGCCCTCACCTGTATCACTATTGTTACGAACCCCTCCACCCAGCACTACGAACCACGCCATCTATTGTCTTGATCTACCTACCCAGCACCATGAGCAACGCCATCTAGGGACGAGACACGAGTATGACTCGTCTTAGTTACCACTACGGGGTTTCCCTTCTCCATATCCTGGTTGTTGCGTCACTTCCTCCAAGTCTTCTTTGTGAGCTCCAATTCGAGGAGAGAGGACTACACTCTGGGAAGTGACCACAGGATCATCTATCCTCTAAACCTACGGCACAGTGACTACCTACAGTCTTCTACAATACTCCGCCTTACTCGTCAGCCATCTCAGCTCCTCACTTAAGTATTTGTAATCTTGTATTGCCTCCCCCACGTCCACCTTGCTTCAAAATTGTTTATGTTGTATTAATATGTATATACTGTTAATGTTTAGGTTAAGTATGGTTAAGGGTAATTTATAGGAAGCTGAATATTTTGTTAAGGGATTTATGGTACTTTATTATACACAACGAAAACTCCCATCCTTTGTCTACCCTTTTATAGTCCGATTGTCTTTGTTTTGTTTTTTTGTTGCCTGTTGGGATCTGGGTAGACGTATAACTATATTCTAAATCCCCAACTCGTAACACTATCCACCACAGAGGCTTGCAGGGCCTCTTTGTCAAACCCCTCAAAGTCCATATAAGTCCATATCCTCACTATAATTATCACTATCACTGACTTGGGCCGGCTGTGGTGTGTGGCGGGTGAAGAACTCGATAATGTTTTGATGACTGGGTGACCTTGTGCGCACCCTGCTTGTGCCGCTCTCCGCGTAAAGGGGTACACGCACCGCGGAATGTGAGCATTCCGTGTTCGGCAGGGTACCGCGTAAACGTGGAAACGCGGAATGTGGGACCGCGTAAAGCGAGGGTTGACTTTATTAAATTTCTTAAGTCATTTTAACAATAATTGAACATAACTTAAGGTAAAGTCACTAGTTTTATGTGCGCCATCCAGCCTTTTAACACACCAAACCGGCGTTAGTCTCTCTCTGTTTTCAGTGGAGGGAACATCTTGCTTGAGACTCTCTTCAACTAAATGCTTTTTTTTTGTGTCTCCAAGCAAATTATTGGTCATTTTGAAATTTATTTTACATATTGACAATATATAGCACAGTGTAGTGTTATTTTAAAGAAAATATTCTTTATTTACAGCTAGTTTAACTTTAAAAATCACGTGTTGACATTGTTTGAATCTAGCATGGGGCCTAAGAGATCAAGAAAAGCGATTTCAATCCAAACCAAGCAGGAAATTATAAAAAAAACATGAACAAGACATTAGAACAAATGTGCTTAGCAAAGAATATGGCATGTAGACATCAACTGTGTCAACAATTCTTGCACAGAAAGACAAATTTAAAGAAGTGAAAGTGAGAGACAAATCTACCAGAGTGTTTAAAAGTAGATCCCTAATCGCAGAAACTGAGAGGTTACTTATCATCTGGATTAGGGAAAAACAGATGAAAGGTGATTCAGTTTCTACTGAATTCATTTGTGAAAAAGCCAGGGAGATTTACGAACATTTAAAGGAAGATCAACCTGGTTCTTCAGGCACAGAATTTGAAGATTTTCGGGCCAGCAAAAGCTGGTTCGAAAAATTTAAGAAAAGAAGTGACATTTTCAGTGTTGTTAGGCATGGTGAAGTTGCTAGTGCTGATAAAGAAGGGGCAGCAAAGTTTTTAGATGAATTTAAAAAACTGATGGAAGAAGAAAATTATCTTCCACAGCAAGTGTTCAATGTGGACGAAACTGGGCTGTTCTGGAAAAAGATGCCCAAAAGAACATTCATCACCAGAGATGAAGCCTCTTTACCTGGGCATAAACCCATGAAAGACCGTCTCACTCTATTGCTTGGTGCCAATGTTTCAGGGGATTTCCGACTGAAGCCCATGCTTGTCTACCACTCTGAGAACCCCAGGGTGTACAAGCAACAGAAAGTGGTAAGCACAAAGCTTGGAGTTTATTGGAAGTCCAACCGTAAGGCATGGGTGACAAGACAGCTCTTTAATGAATGGGCTGTTGATGTGTTTTGCCCTTCTGTCAAGAGCTACCTAACCACCAATAAACTCCCTTTAAAGGCTCTTCTCCTCATGGATAATGCTCCTTGTCATGACCCTGACCTTGCCAGCAATTTGGAGTATCAATTTGACTTTGTCAAAGTGTTGTTTTTGCCTCCCAACACTACATCAATCATACAGCCAATGGACCAGAATGTGATCAGCAACTTCAAGAAGTTGTACATGAAGAAAATGTTTAGGAGGTGTCATCAGGCAACTTCCAATGATCCTGAACTAACACTGAAACAGTTCTGGAAGACAATTCAACATCCTGGAGGCTGTAAAATTGATTGTGTCATCATGGCAAGAAGTCTCCACTAGATCCCTCAATTCTGCATGGAAAGCACTGTGACCATCAGTAGTCCATGATTTTGAGGGATTTGAGGAAGAAACAGAGTTGGACCAGGAGATTGTGTCCAATGGTCAGTCATTGGGCCTTGAAGTGGAGGAGGAGGATGTGGAAGAGCTTGTGCTGTCTCATGAGGAGGAACTTACTCCTGATGACTTGAAGCAACTGGATGAGATGTTACAAGTAGAGGCTGACAGTGGTGAGGAGGAAATTGAAAGTGATGACCATATGTCAGCTAAACAGTTGAAAGATGTGATTTACTACTGGGAGAAGTTCAGGGAACTGGCTTCAAAGCACCCAGAAGTGGAAAAAACTGAACTAACTTTGTGTCATGTTGAGGACTCAGTGGTCTCCTTCTTTAAACATAAGTTAATGGTGAGGAGGACAGATGCCCCACAGACCACAATTGACACTTTCTTCAGTAGAAGGCAGAGGGAACAAGATGCCATCCCTCAGCCTTCCACTTCAAGAAGGAGAGAGGATGTTCATGGTGGAGAATCTGTCAGTCCAGAGGTTCCTAACATTTTCATGGAAGGTGACTCACCTTCCAAGAAGCAGTAAAATGCTTCTCCTCCACCTCCACTTCCTTCTCTTCTCCCTTCTCCTCCTCCCACTTCAAATGCACATCATCATCATCATCATCCAGGAGCCTTCTACATACAAACCTCAAAGTAAGTGTACTTTTCTACCATTTTTTTTTAATTTAGGCAATTTTCGGTGAGCTGGAACCAATTACCCAAAAACCCATTGAAACAATGGTTTCGGTTAAAGAGATTTTCAGTTAACGAGCAACCTGCTGGAACGGATTGTGCTCGTTAACCGAGGGACCACTGTATAATAAAAGTATTTTATTAATAAATATTACATAATATAAATAAATTATACTTTAATTATAATGTTTGATTATTGATTAAATTCCCCCTAATAGATATATATTAATATTAAACTAAACTAAAGTCAGTGACTGGAGAACCGAATAGCTTGACAACATTTACAACTTTACTA